CCACCCCACCCCACCCCACCCCACCCCTGACCTTCTCCCCCACGATGTCCTCAGGAGCACAAGGTCCTCCTGACGGGGACGCCGCTGCAGAACACGGTGGAGGAGCTCTTCAGCCTCCTCCACTTCCTGGAGCCCTCCCAGTTCCCCTCCGAGGCCGAGTTCCTCAAGGACTTTGGAGACCTGAAGACCGAGGAGCAGGTGAGGAGGAGGAGGAGAAGACCTTCCTCCACCCCCCTCCCAACCTCATGGTTGGGCTGAGGGAGGTCATCTCCTCGTCCATCCCACCGCCAGGTCCAGAAGCTCCAAGCCATCCTCAAACCCATGATGTTGAGGAGGTTGAAGGAGGACGTGGAGAAGAACTTGGCCCCCAAGCAGGAGACCATCATCGAGGTGGAGCTGACCAACATCCAGAAGAAGTACTACAGGGCCATCTTGGAGAAGAACTTCTCCTTCCTGTCCAAGGGGGCCGGTCACACCAACATGCCCAACCTCCTCAACACCATGATGGAGCTCCGCAAGTGTTGCAACCATCCCTACCTCATCAACGGTGAGGGACCTCCCGGGGCGGCCACCACAGGGGGGGGACAACCCCCAGAGGGGTCACCCCAACCCCGTCTCGGCTTCTCCTGGGCGTCGGGTTGTCTCCAGGAGCATCTCGGGGGGCTTCGTGGAGATGGGGTCAACCACCGTTGGGTCTCAACATCATGGTGGGAGATGTTCCCCAGGTCATCTGGAGGGGTTTTGGTGCTCCTCAAGCCTTGGGTTGGGTGGGATGGCTCTTGGAGAAGGTCCTTGGTGACCTAGAACTTTCTTGGAGATGGGGTCAAGCATCCGTTGGGTCTCAAGGTCTTGGTGGAGAAGGTTCTCCAGGTCATCTACAGGGGTTTTGGTGCTCCTCAAGCATTGGGTTGGGTGGGATGGCTCCTGGAGAAGGTCCTTGGTGACCTAGAACCCTCTTGGAGATGGGTTCAACCATCCGTTGGGTCTCAAGATCATGGTGGGGGAGGTTCTCTAGATGATCTCAAGGGGTTCTGGTGCTCCTCAAGCCTCGTTGTGGGTGGGATGGCTCCTGGAGCAGGTCCTTGGTGACCAAGAACTGTCTTGAAGGTGGGGTCAACCATCTGTTGGGTCTCAAGGTCATGGTGGAGAACGTTCTCCAGGTCATCTACAGGGGTTTTGGTGCTCCTCAAGCCTCGTTGTGGGTGGGATGGCTCCTGGAGCAGGTCCTTGGTGACCAAGAACTGTCTTGAAGGTGGGGTCAACCATCTGTTGGGTCTCAAGGTCATGGTGGAGAACGTTCTCCAGGTCATCTACAGGGGTTTTGGTGCTCCTCAAGCCTCGTTGTGGGTGGGATGGCTCCTGGAGCAGGTCCTTGGTGACCAAGAACTGTCTTGAAGGTGGGGTCAACCATCTGTTGGGTCTCAAGGTCATGGTGGAGAACGTTCTCCAGGTCATCTACAGGGGTTTTGGTGCTCCTCAAGCCTCGTTGTGGGTGGGATGGCTCCTGGAGCAGGTCCTTGGTGACCAAGAACTGTCTTGAAGGTGGGGTCAACCATCTGTTGGGTCTCAAGGTCATGGTGGAGAACGTTCTCCAGGTCATCTACAGGGGTTTTGGTGCTCCTCAAGCCTCGTTGTGGGTGGGATGGCTCCTGGAGAAGGTCCTTGGTGACCAAGAACTGTCTTGAAGTTGGGGTCAACCATCTGTTGGGCTTCAAGGTCATGGTGGAGAAGGTTTTCCAGGTCATCTGGAGGGGTTTTGGTGCTCCTCAACCCTCGTTGTGGGTGGGATGGCTCCTGGAGAAGGTCCTTGGTGACCTAGAACCTTCTTGGAGATGGGTTCAGCCATCTGTTGGGTCTCAAGGTCATGGTGGGACATGTTCTCCAGGTCATCTCAAGGGGTTTTGGTGCTCCTCAACCCTCAGGTTGGGTGGGATGGCTCCTGGAGAAGGCCCCTGACCCCCTCCATGGTCCATCCCAGGAGCCGAGGAGAAGATCCTGGCCGAGTTCCGGGAGTCCTGCCACCACCACGTGCCCCCAGACTTCCACCTGCAGGCCATGGTCCGCTCGGCCGGCAAGCTGGTCCTCATCGACAAGCTCCTGCCCAAGCTGAAGGCCGGTGGCCACAAGGTCCTCATCTTCTCCCAGATGGTGCGCTGCCTGGACATCCTGGAGGACTACCTCATCCAGAC